ATCGATATAATTATGAGTGTATGCGTATGTTGTACTATCTGAATTATTTACAGCTGCGGGCATTTCAAAAATACGTACGTACGTACGTACATACAATAAAAAAATTAGGTTATATTGTAGATCAAATGCAATTATCATTATGCATTAATGGTATATAGTAATAATAGTAAATTGATTTTCTTCGAATTTTCTATAATGGTAACAAAGAAAAAACGTTTAATTTATACACTATTTATTAACTAATTTGGTAAAAAAAACTATTTTCTAAAAGACAAGACTTATGAGCAAATAGTTGTTATAAAATCTCGAAATCTGATTGGTTGGCTCATTGCACCCTTTTGCTGTGGGGGGTCCCATATATAAAACACGTAGTAATAAAATAAATAACTATGAATTAATTTATCTGAATTAGCTAATAAATATAAAATGTGAAAACTGTTCATATAAAAACAGCTTAAAAGTTTTCAAAACAAATTATATAAAGGAAAAAGTTAAAATAGTTTAGCAAAATTGAAGAAAAAATACTAATAACACAAATAGACAGAAAAGTATATGATCAGTACAAAGTAAACAATTACAATATATAAACACTAAAGATTAAATAAACAAAAATATCAGAAGACAAAAAAAAAGAATAAATTGTATACAGATCAAAAAATAATCAACAACTAGACAAAGTAGTTAAGAAAAAAAAGAAAAAAGTTTTAATTAAACACTAATTAATATATATAAAAAAAGAAAATATCTATAGAAATAAGTAAATGTAAAGGCTGTAAGAATATATAGACACAGGTGTGATGACCTAGTAAAGTGGTCAGATTGTCAACCTCCAAGTGGCAGGTTTAGAGTTCAAATCTCAGTGTCAACAGAAAATTTAAAAATCCTTCTTGTATTATAGTTAACTGTCTCTTGTAATTGGTTAGGATAAGATACCTGTTACCTGTGTTACACTAGCATGACTGGCAGGTCATATAGCATTTGTGTAACAGCATATAATATTGTTCTTTAGGACAAGGTTTGTAGTTATATAAAGGAATGCAAACTGATACTGGGCAGTGCAAACCTACAATAAGTTTTTGTGGTTATATAAATCATAGGAACCAAAAAAAGAAAGATAGAAACCTACTTGGAAGACCTGAATAGAGAGGTAACCTGAGCTTTCGACAGTGCTACTGTAAAGACTAGACTTATGAAATAGAGCTAGAACTTGTGAAACTAGACAAATGTATCAGTTTTTAAAAAAGAACTGGATAAACCAACTAGACTACTGGAATTTTCAGGTTCTGGAAAAAAAGTGTACATGCTAGCAAATATGTAAACCAGAGGTGTATAGTTTTGACCTACCTTTTTGGGCTATCTAGAATGGCAGCTTGAAGGAACTTGAATTAAATACCAAAATAGTAAGAATATGTTGTGAAGTAAGTATTAGAGTTGGGATAAACTCTACAAGGACATAGTGGTTTAATGATATGTCCTGACCACCAGTGTTGGTTTTGGTTATAGCAATATCAGTTAGTTGTAAAAATGAAATACAGAAGATTCTAGAAGGTTTAGTACAAGGTTAAAAGTTCTAAAGAACTGCTTTAAAGACTTAGTAATTATGACATATTTTCATCAGCATTGGCCAGAATCATTAGTAAGCAGAGGTAAACAGATAGATATGGAAACTAAAGTGATTAAATAGGAACCCTACAAGCAGGTTCCAGGTATGGCAGCTAGTGTAGAACCTTCAAGTAGACTACTTAAATTAGACAATAACTAAAGTTGTATGAGTGCCTAGTTGTACATTCTTTTCATGATTGCTCTCTGTGGTTGTAATGCAACCATTAGCCAAATATACTATCAATAAAATCCTGGGTTACAAGTACTTATCTTAATATTTAAAAAAAAATAATAAAAAAAGAATATATAAACACAGATGACAGATAAATGTAAAAGGTAAATATAATAAAATTATAGTATAAAAACTATTTTAGAATTAATAATAAAAAAGAACAATAACAGAATTAATGTAATAATAGATCAATTAAAAGAAAACAAAATAATAAAGAAATAGAAAAATAAGAAAATAAAATTAATCAAACTCAAACAAGTAGAAGAATTAGAAATAAAAATAATAAGAAAACAAAAATTAAACAAAATACTTATGAACTAACTAATAGAAATTATAACAAAAACAAAAAAAAAGCAAAAAAAGTTATATTTTTTATATAAATAGAATATTATATAAAAAAGGTAAAACAATAGTATAAAAAAATAGATATTAGATGGATATAAGTAGAAGAGAAAAGCAATTAGTCAGAAGAAAAAGTAATACTAGACCTAGAGAAGTGGTTGTTAACAACATTAGCTGAGCTAGTAGTAATATAGACAGAAATTTTAATAATATTTAAAGAAATAGATATAAAAATTTATACAGATAACAATACAGTAATAAGAAATAATAGTAAAGCATTGCAAAATACAAAAAAATGAAAAATTCTTAAAAAGAAAATATAATATGAATATTGGATATTATAAAGCTAGTTAAAAAGAAAAATACCAAATTAGTTATAATAAAGACAAATAAATGATAGAGCAAATTTTTTTACAAAAAAACAAACAAGTTGTAAAAAAATAATTCAGATAGAAAAACTTAAATATAAGAAAATAGAATACTAACTAGATTAAAAAAATAAAAAGATTAACATATCTGTATAACTCCTTTACAAAATAATTACAAATTCTAAAATAAAAACTAATTAAAGAGATACAAATTAATTAAAATTTTAGAACTAGAAACAGAATATATACTCTACAACTGGTCAAGTTTTTAAAAAGAAATAAGCTGAACAAAAAAAGTATATTGCATCTTAAGAAAATTAAATACAAGAAAAGTTACAGTAATTAAGTATATAATATATAACTTATCAACACTAGTAGAACTAAACAAAAGAAGACCAGAAAAATATATAACAACAGAATATCAAGTTTGTTAAAATATTAAAAATGAAATTTAAAATACTTAATGAACTGTAATAAACAAAGCAATTTGTGAAAATGTATCAATAACAATAATATAAAATAAGTTCAAAAAAAAGAGAAAGAACAGAATTCTAGTACAAATACTATATAAAACACTATTTAAAAAAACAAAAAAAAATTTATAAATAAAAAGATACTAATAAAAAAACTAATTATGTTAAAAATAAAAAAAAAACTTGATCAATTGCCAAATAAAAAAATATCTAGCATAATAACAAGAACAGTATAAAATACTTTTTATGATCAAATATAAAGAATTTGTTATGAAAAGATACAAAAATAAGAAGATTAATATAATAAATAAAATAAAAAATATTCAAATAGAAAAGAACTTAACAAAAGAGAAAGATAAGATAAAAAAAAAAAAAATAATAAAAAGAAAAAAAAATAAAAAATAAAAAAAACAAAATGGATAAAAAAAACTTTGAAGACAATTAATATAATTGTTACAGAAGGAAAAAACCTTTTTAGTATGATTTTAAGTAATTAGATAAACAATCTATCTCTAACTGAAATAATGCACAGGTTGCACTTAGGTACCATTAAGGTAACTAAGTAATGCTAAACTTAGATATTGGAAAATTCTATGTAATTATATATGTATCTAGTTTCAAGAATCTTAATAAAATACTAACATAACTGCTTAAGACAAAAAAAAATTACATCTTTAAAATAAACAAAATTAGCAAAATTTTATTTTGGTTTTTAAGTGAAGCTTTTTAATTATTATAAAATGCATCTATAATGTTTGCACCTATTATATGTTTTTATTATGTTTTTTTTTTTTTTAAATTTTCTAAATTTTTATAAGTTTTGTTATAGAAATTTTTGTCTTAAAGAAGCGTAGAACATTTTTACTTAAAACACCTTGTACTGATTACTTAGCCAGTTTTTGAGATAATGCACGCATAAATGTAAAACACCATAGATGCGTTTTAGTAAAATTCAAAATTTTTTATCATCTTTTGTTCTATATAATCGCAAAATTAATTTTAAGTTACTTAGTCAAGTTGAAAAAGAACTTTAGTTCAAAAAATGAGATTTTTATAGCACGTGGGTATCTATTTGCTAGTTTAATAATAAAATATTTGGTGATTGTATAGAGTTTGTGATTATATAGAAGGTGACTGTATGGGGGGACGACTGTACACGAGTACAAATAAATATCGATAATCCCGACTGATTTGATTTACTGATTTTTCGAACACTTTAGTGCCAAACCCTGTTCGGAGAATTCCAGCATTCAGTCAACGATGGCTACAAACTCTGAGGTATGGATACTTTCTTTATTGTTTTGTCTTTTCGCATCTTTCACTAAAAAATATTAGCACCTTTTTCAAGGATTCTAATGGAATTTCTTTGGAAGATTTGGGTATGCTATTTTCTCTCCAATATGCACTTGTTTATATCATTATGGAATTAATTTATTTATGTTCTGTAATACCCAGGTGAAGATATGATGAACTATGAATTGTCTGATTCATCCAAGAAAGCACGAGAGGAACATCAGGCAATACTCGACGAGTTTGAACGAAAGAAACGTGCAAGAACCTTAGCTGTTCCCACCGATGACGGTCGCGTAAGAGCAAAACTTAGAGAACTTGGTGAACCACAATGTTTATTTGGAGAAGGAGTAAGTGTTGCACTTGCAAATAATCCGTATTTCTAATGTTTAAATTCAGTTAAAACGTCAACCGATCTTTAATATAGCCTGGTGATCGGCGTGATCGTTTGCGATATTTATTATCGAAATTAGAGGGTGCAGAAATAGTTCCCGATGAGGATGAGGAAACTGAGAGCGAATCTGAGGAAGAAGTGCGTCATATATCATTTATGTTATTTTTTATTCTTGTGAAATGTTCAACATATTGACAAAATAGTGGACTCAGTTCATATTTGTAAAATCAAGAGGGAAGAAGAGTTTTTCACTCAAGGAACTTTAGAACTTTTGGAAGCTCGTCGATGGATTGCGAGATATTCTTTACCAAGGTTTGTCAACATATACTGTATGCAATTATTTTTAGAAAAATATTAATGCACCAACTATTATTTATTCAGAGCCAGAGACCGTCTTCGCAAGCAACGAGCCGAGTACGATTTACCATTGCCCCAGATAAAATCCGTGAGAAAAGATTTATTTACAGGATTAAAAGTAAGTGTTAATTTTTTTATATTTTTTTTTTACTTGGTTCATTTTTTATTCATTACTGGTTTTGTTCAGTCTTATGCAAACTTTAGCTCACAAATTGGAGATGATCGTCCAATTTCACAATGTGTTTTCTCACCTGACTGTAGTTTAATCGCTACTGGTTCTTGGTCTGGTTTGTGTCGAATATGGAGTGTACCAAGTTGTGAAACCGTGATAACATTTAAAGGTTAATTTATTTACTGTTACCAAAAGTTTTTTATTGCCCTTAATAAAGCATCTAAAAAAAGATAGTTGATATGTTGCAGGACATGCTGATCGTATTGGTGGTGTTGCATGGCATCCACAATCTACCCTTTCTATAGACAAGAATGTAGTAAACTTAGCTTCGGGTGCAGCTGATGGTTTAATTAATTTATGGTCTTTAGAAAGTGATTCACCATTGGGCACGTTGCAGGGACATACGTCTAGAGTAGGTAAGATTGATTTTCATCCGTCAGGAAGATTTATTGGATCAGCAAGGTAGCTACTGATTTTTATAACCGCTTTCTTGCTGTTGTTTTTTTTTGATTCACTTTTCATTAATTATTTTCTTTTCAGTTTCGATTATTCATGGCGCCTTTGGGATGTTGAAACGACTGGGGAATTGCTACTTCAAGAAGGACATTTTAAAGAAGTTTATGCAATTCGATTCCAAAATGACGGTGCTTTAGTGGCTACAGGGTATTTAATTATCTTAAATTGCGAATACATGTGATTGGAATAGTTAAATTTATTTCGATTAATTTAGTGGGTTAGATGCTATTGGACGTGTCTGGGATCTAAGGACAGGACGATCTGCTATGGTCTTAGAAGGGCATGTTAAAGACATTTTGGGCGTAGACTTTTCTCCGAATGGGTATGTTATAGTATTTAAAATAAACATTTTTACATTTATTACTACTTTTTGTCGATGAATAATTCTCCTGTTAGCTATCAAGTTGCTACTGGAAGCGCGGATAATACTATACGCATTTGGGACATCCGGACCTTGCGATGCACCTATACTATTGCTGCGCATAAATCTCTTGTTTCCGATGTGAAATTCTTTCATGCTTCATCAACATTTATCAGTGAAGAGGATACCAGAGGCATTAAACCAACAGTATCTGGATTATATTTGGCAAGTTGTGGTTACGATGGTTTTGTGAATATTTGGTCTGCTGATGATTGGAGTTTACTTAAAATATTGGCTGGACACGATGGAAAAGTAATGGCTGTTGATATTTCCTCAGGTTTGTCCGTTATATTTTTAATATTGTGATTATATTTAGATTAATTTAAACTGAATTTAAAATCATGTTTTTAGATAACAAGTTAATTGCCTCATCCGGTTTTGATCGAACATTTAAATTATGGGCGAATGAAAATTTGCCAATCTGATACAATAAATTTTAGGATAAATTGCCACCCTAACCTTTGAAAGTTCTGTTTTGCAAATATTTAATAAGTACAGTAATTTAATGTTATTTTATTATATGCCTTTTGAAGATTTTACAATTATTAAGAGGGTTACAAATATGCATTGTCAATATAATTTTATTAACAGCTAACCTAGGTAAGGAATTTGTTAGTAAAAATATTTTTAAAATTGTGTTTCATGACTGTTTTTTCTCTTTCTAACAAAGTTAATTTTTGATATTTGCTATTAAAATTTGATAATATTACTTATTGTGACTCTAAAATGATATGCCGTATAGTCGCTAAGTACTCGTTATTTTAAATGCGTACATTTGCATTGTTTCGAAATAAAGGAATACTTTAGAGCTTAATGCATTATTTAAAATAAGTATCTATTTACGAAGATGTGATTTCGAAATAATGTTCATGCTCGCTATTAAAAATAACGATTTCATTATTGAATTTTTAATAATGTACAGTCAGACCCCTCTATAGTCACACTCGTTATAAGCACATCATATAAAAAACCTCTTTATAAGCACATTTATTTAAAAATCAATTATACATAAGCATATTAAAAAAACCTACGTATTAGTAAAAATCTTTTTATAAACACGAATATTTATTCCGAGAGTGATTATAGAGGTTTGACTGTATTTACAAAAATTAAATTTCGGCTTTTATTTCGGATACATACTACATTTTTGTTCTTCATTGTGGTAACTTATTATAAATACAAATCGTGTTGACATCGCTCATTTGAAAATAAATGTCTAATAGCGATAGGGGATTTCAAAATTAAAATTTCCAGTTGATGTAGCCTACCTTTTTGCCGATAATTTCTTTTTTAATGTAACGACCAATAAAGTTGGCTAAGTAATGTAAATTATCCGACTGATAAAAAGTTGAGGCGGAAGTAAACAGCATTTTGCAATACCGTACCATATCGTCGCGAAATAACGCCACGGGGCGTTATTTAGGGGCACATTGCTTGAAGAGAGCTAAGGATTAATTTAGCCGAAGACTTTAATAACCAAAAGTTATGATTTTCATCGTTTAAATTAATAATTAGCTCTCTTCAAGCAATGTATCGCCCCGGAGCGTTATTTCGCGATAATACGGTAAGTTGTGTGCCCTGACCAGGCAGGGTGATGTAATTAGTGTTCCGAGTTGGTATAATTGATTATGCAACTAATCGATTTTTCCTATCATGTGACTGAATTCGTTGATTGGCCAATCAAACTAAAGAAATCAACAGAATATATATCTCAGAATTTAACTAGTTGATGATTTAATCGACCAGTTGTTTCAAAATTTTTTCAAATCGATTAGTTGGAAAGTTGTCAACTAGTTGGTTTTTCAACTAACGATTTGGATCAATAGATGTAACATGATTTTTTTTCTGGAAGTATTTGGAAGTGTTTTTTTTCTAACCAGAACTTAGAAATCACAATCGGAAGTCGTTATTATAAATGACGGACATTTTCCGTCCCATGAAAAATCGAGTCGTAAATTTCTTATTTAAACGGAAATCTCCGGCATTTTACAATAGGTTTTTAGATACTTATCAAAAAAAAAAAGCGGAGATTGGTAATTTCCCCCACAGTTCTGATTGACATTTGTAATGCCATCTCTAATTGGACAAAGTGGACTACGCCACTTTCGTCTACCAATCAAACTATAAGATCAGGTGTAACATAAAATTTTCTAAACCAACTTTTGTATTCTAACAAAAAAAAAATTTCTTGCAAATTTAGTATAGCATGTATCCTACTAGACTTTTATACTGTTTCAATGATACTGAATTTTTCTTCGTCCAATAGGAACTAGAGGGAAATTAGTAAACCCAAAAAGCGTCTATTTAGTTCACTGAGTCGGAATTTTAAAAATAAAAGTGGAATCTTAAAAATAGAAATGGAATTTTTTTAAAAAAAAACCGTAATTTTGAAATCCTTATTTGAAATATTTAACAAGAATTACCTAATAACCGAAGTTATTTTGATGATGATTTCGTCAAAATAATAGTCATTCTGTTAGTTCGGTAATTATTGAATGTTACGCAGCCAATAGCTTGTTTATCTGACAGCGAATATGATATGCGTCATTTCTGAAATTCTTCATAGTAAAGATAATAAAAGTCAATTTAAAACATGTGATTATTATAATCTGAATATATTAAATTTAAACTTTAAAATATTTAGCCTATAATTATATGATTTAAATTGGTAAAAATGTTTTTTTTACCATTTTTGCTTCGTGACCCGGAAGCTAAAATTTTAAATCTTAGCCAAATAATGAATTATTTTACAAATAATGTATAGTTATTGGATGCAAAGCAGCTAATAACGGAAATCATTTTATTATTTGGCTGTAAAATTTAATATGCCAACTTCTGGGCTCTGAATGACGCATATTAAATTCACAACCAAATAAACAAGTTATTGGCTAAGTAGCAATAATTATATATTATTGCAATTAAAATATTCATAATTGGATGTAACTTTTCAACATCATCCTATTACATTACACAGTTACTTTAATTAACTAAATAATCCCAAGTAACAAATTCGAACCTAGCAATAAAAGTTACTAAAATCAATCATTTAACTAAATTTTATTAGTCAATTAATCAATTATTTGAAAATAAACATAATAAATAAACATTATTCAAAATATTATAAAATATGTTATAAACAAACCTGAAAAATATCCAAAATATTTTAAAATTATATTCACAATATTTAATAGTATAATAGTTAACCAACTTTATAAATTAATTAACTATTACTATTGCAACAACAAAACTGCGTCGAAAATATTATTCTTAATAAGTTAGTATAATACCAAAATTATATTCAAACCAAGTATAAATCTAATTAACTAAGTAACTCCAAATAACTACATTAAATAAGTTTCACTAAAAAAAACTCCTGAAAATTTAAATATAAGTTATATTTGAATTTTTGAGTTTTCTTTTAGCAAACCTAAATACACCAAAATTAAAGTATATTTTAGCAGTTGACTATATATTTAAGCAAAAGTTTCTTAAATAATAAAATCGAATATAACACGAAAAAATTTTTTTGTTAAAAAGCAAAGTAAAAGGTGGTTTTATAAACAAAATTTTGGCAATTTATCGATTTCACGTTACACGAAATCTGGATATCTGATTGGTGTACCTGAGACCTTTTCAAGTATTTTTGTTTTTTTTACCTTATACGCGTTTTTCCTTTTTGGGAAGCACTGTAGTAAACCAATTGCTCAGTAATTTACCCAGAGTACTTTTTTTAGAACACAACGTTTCACTAATAAAAAATCGTACTCCTGACGAACTAAAGGTAATTGAAATGTTTTCTCCTTATTATGTTAGATCTAATAACCTTTAATTACTTTGACTAGGTACAAGCTCTTTAGTAGTAAAAGAACAATGTCTAGATTTGGTCGTTTCTCGTAGTGTGTTTGGGTTTGTCAACTGTAAATTAAGGCTGTATATCGTGGATTCATTAATATGGGTTATTAGTAATAATATTACTTTTTCCCCACTTATGTGTATCCAAAGTAATATTGAAACGATAAAGATTATGCAATTTGATTGGTTTATTATCACGAGTAACCACGGGTAGATCTTTAAAAATTAACCAATCAGAGAAACCTGTATAGTGATAGTAGATACTAATTAACCAATCAGATTCACTTCAACGAGATAAAAACCTTTTAATTGCAACATGCTCGCTAAGGATGAGTCTGTCGAAAAATTATCTAGCCATGATGCTTCGTCAGATTTATCAAATCGTCATTTGCTTATTCTCTATGGGAGCCAGACAGGTTGTGCCCAAGACGTAGCGGAGAGAATTTCTAGACAAGCACGAAGGCGTCATTTCAAAGTTAGACTTCATTCAATGGATGATTATGAAAGGGTATATAATAACTATTTTATTGTTAATTCGTTTAGTGCAATCCGATAATATTATACTTTATTTGACACTTTAGGAAAATTTAATAAATGAGAGTCTGGTCATTTTCATTTGCTCAACAACAGGCCAAGGTGACGAGCCTACTAATATGAGAGTATGTCAATGGTCACTTTTGTTAAGTAAAATGTTGTATTAATATTATTCAGCGAGTTAGATTTGATGTATTTATTTTATGCGCAGAAATTCTGGAAATATTTATTGAGGAAAAACCTTCCAAATAATATTTTAAACCAAATGAAATTCGCAGTTTTTGGTCTTGGAGATTCTTCATACGTAAGGTAAGTCTGATAAGAATTTCATGAGAAAAATGATTTGCATCCATACAATGGGTGTTCATGCAAATAATGGATTACAATCTTTTTTTATCATTAAGATATAATTGGCCTGCCAAAAAGCTTTTTAAGCGTCTTTTACAATTAGGTGCTCAGAGCATGCTTCCACGCGGAGATGGTGATGATCAACATTATCTTGGGTTAGTTAATATAAAAAATTAATAAACTCTGTATTATTAACGTATTTACTTTTTTTTTTATGTCATATGTGCTAATGATACTCATGATACTCTGATGTTTTTAGTATAGATGGTGCCCTTGATCCATGGTTAAAAAAATTATGGGAAGTCATAATGGAAAATTATCCATTGGCACCGAGTTTAGAAGTTTTGTCTGATGATATTTTATTATATCCTTTAGTATGATTTAAAATAGTATTTAAAGTTAAATGTTTATACACACTATTTTATTCTTAACTATAATGATTTGCTTACGCCAGCAAGATTTCGCATCGAATTTATTGAGCAGAAATTTGAAGAAAAAAATGAAAAAATTAATAATGGTGAAATGTATGCACGATTGGTTAAGAATGAACGTGTAACAGCGTATGATCATTTCCAAGATGTTCGTCATATAGAATTAGCTATCGATGACACTGAACCTAAGTGAGTTTTATTCGCGTATAAACATGTCAATCAATGGATTTTTTTTTTTCTTATTCTGGTCTATATTTAGA